CACGGAACTCTGAACATGTCCATGTAGCCAATAACATAGCTTCGCCATCTTATATCCACACTGCTTTCTGTGCCTCTACTGGCCAGCTTCCGTGAGCGTGGCACTCGTAGAGTCGACTGGTGTAACGGCATCACATTCACTTTAACCGCAGTCTATTCATTCTCACTTTTCTCTTATTTTCCAGATGCATTGCGCGAGACCTCCAGCTCTAACAAAGCCACGAACGGACAGTCATGAACCATAAACTGTTTATCTCTTTTATCTCTTTGATTGTATATTTTATATTGAGCCTGTTTTACCGTGTTGTACGAGTTCACTTCCGTTCTGCGAATACACGCTGTTCGTCACCCACTGTGTTCTTCCGCCCGGGGCTCCCGTCCACCGTATTTGCCCGTGGATTGTGTGATTAATCGCGTTGTTGTGCTTGTTGTACTTCAGCTCGCGGATATACCTGGCCTTTCCCCGAACATTGCACACTACATTTCTGGCGACGGAGATGGAGCCCAAAATGCACTCTGACGACTTCGAACCGCCTTTTATTAAACCGGAAGTAAAACCATATTTTGCTCAGCCAACACCGACTCCACCAGAACGTTTCGCTGTGGGCACAAACCTGACATCATGGAAGTGGCGCATGAACCTATATCTCAGCGCGGTTCCTCCCAGCTCACGCGGGCCGTACATTCTGTCTCACCTAGAAACAAATGTGCAGGAAGCCTTGATTTCTTCCGGATTTTCCGTCACCTCCTCCGTGGATGAGATTTGGTCGAAACTGGGTTCGTTATTTGGCGATGGTTCCTCCCAACCCGGTGCAAGAAATGAGTTTTGGATCAGATCGCAGGGCGCGCATGAAACGTTTGACGACTACGTCACTGCACTCCGTACTCTGGCATTGCGTGCCTTCGGAAATGTTACACCCGTCATTCGGGACGCGTTTATCTTGGAGCGGTTGATTCAAGGTGTTGCCGACGATGAAACTTGCCGAGCTTACGTGCGGGACCCACCGTCGTCCGTGGAAGAAGCCATCGTCATCGGTCGCAAGTACGAGGCTGCAGCACGAGCCAGAGGACCGTCTCAGTCGTCTGGCTGCCCTGTGTCGCGCTTCCAACGGGCACCAGCATTTCGACCCACGAGATCATGGAACTCCAATGACTGTTACTACTGTCGAAAATTTGGCACACAAGCTCGAACATGTGGACATAACCGACCACTTTTGCCTTCTGCTGGTGTTCGACGCAACCCTGGAGCATCAAGCACGTGGACCCATGGGGGTAAGTCCCAGTCTGTGCCTTGCATTTCTTCCTTATCAAACGTAGGGCAGCCATTCGTGCGCATATTGCTTTGTGGTAGACCGGCACACGCCCTAGTAGACACAGGAGCCACTTGCTCTCTAATTAAACCCTCTTTATGCACCAGGGACGTTAAACTTGATAACCGTCATCGCCTCAGAACCGCAAATGGCACCCTATTAAATGTAACTGGCATCGCTATGGTGGATCTGGTTTTAGGGGACGAAACGTTATCCCATCCTATGTTCGTATCCTCGCAAATACCATGGGACGCAGTACTCGGCTCAGATTTGCTACGCGTTTTGGGGTGCTGCATCGATATGCGTCAGGGGTGTATGAAGTTCAACAATTCTCAAGTAGCCATTACTATCGATCCAAATCCGCTGCCCAGTATGTGTTCAGCAAGCCACACGCACGCACCGCTCGAAACACAGATAACCGCTTTCTTATCTCCTCTGAAGAATAATCTTCCGTCAGAGACTCTCGACGCTCTGTACAGTGTAGTGAAGAAAAATGCCGCCGCGTTCGTATGGGAAGGGTCCTCTCTGGGCCGTACTGGTATCATACGACACAAAATTGACACAGGGCCCGCGAGGCCTATCACTCAGCGACCCCGCCGTGTACCAGTGCAATATCGTGCGGAGCTCGAAAATATGATAAAGCAAATGCTGGAGGCAAACATTATTACTCCATCGAAGTCACCCTGGGCCTCGCCAATAGTTCTCGTCAAAAAGAAGAATGGTTCTCTGCGCCTCTGTGTAGATTATCGTAAGCTAAATGAAGTAACCCGCAAGGATTCGTTTCCAATGCCTCGTATAGATGACACTTTGGAAACCCTCGGGGGGGCGCAATGGTTCTCTACCCTTGATCTTGCATCTGGATATTGGCAGGTAGAGGTTGACCTAAGGGACCGTGAAAAGACTGCTTTTGTGATACCATCGGGACTGTACGAGTTTCAAACTATGCCCTTCGGTTTATCAAACGCGCCGGCCACATTTCAACGTCTAATGCACGTCGTTCTTAGAACTTTGATACCACATCAGTGCCTAGTTTACTTAGACGATGTAATCGTGCATGGGCGCTCCCTGGAGGAACATTTGGAAAATCTGGATGTGGTCCTACACAGTCTTGTGGATGCTGGTCTCAAGTTACAGCCACACAAATGTCAGCTATTAAGGAAGGAAGTGACGTTCTTAGGCCATGTCATCACTTCATCGGGGGTGCAGAGTGACCCAAATAAGATAAAGGCGATTCAAGACTGGCCTATTCCGCGTTCCACGGAAGACGTGCGACAGTTTCTGGGCCTTGCTTCCTACTACCGCAGGTTCGTCCGCAACTTTGCCGACATTGCCGCACCACTGCACCGTTTGACCGAGAAGGGAAGGCCGTTTCAGTGGACTCCTCAGTGTGACAAAGCGTTTGACTCTTTGCGACAAGCGCTGGTAAATTCGCCAATTTTAGCGTTTCCAGATCTGTCTCCTAGTGCGGGTCAGTTTATTCTCGACACGGACGCAAGTGACACCGGAATTGGAGCTGTCCTGTCACAAGTCGGACCTGATGGGTTGGAACATGTGATTGCTTACGGAAGCAGATGTCTGAGCAAACAGGAACGTAATTATTGCACAACACGCAAGGAGATGTTGGCTTTGGTGACATACACAAAGCATTTTCGCCATTTCCTTTTGGGGCGGCGTTTCCTTATTCGTACGGACCATCATTCGCTTAAGTGGCTACAGAACTTTAGGGACCCCGAAGGGCAGGTCGCCCGCTGGCAAGAACAACTTCAAGAATATGATTTTGAGTGTGTACATAGACCCGGCAGACAGCATGCCAATGCGGATGCTCTGTCACGACGCAACGGCAAACACGACGTCGATTGCCCCTCGTGTTCTGATCACCACGTAGACGTAGTGTCGCTTGACACTTCCAATTCTGCCGAGTGGTCGGATCTCCAAAGGAACGATCCGGAGCTCAAGCTCATTTATGAAAGGATATCCACCGATGGGATCAAACCTACGAAAGCGGAGATGGCAGGCTTAAGTTGGGAGGCTCATTGCGTGTGGTCGGTATGGCAACGCCTCGTAATTCATGATGGAATCTTGTACTATCAATACGGGCCGAATTATTCCAAACGAATCGTTGTTCCCCAGTCCAAGGTCGATTTTGTGTTGCGCCAACTACATACCGAATTAGGACATCCCGGGCAGAGAAAAATGGATGAGGCTGTTGGGCAGCGATTCTGGTGGCCAGACCAGCGCAGAGATGTGGTTAACTTCTGTAACGCTTGTCAGGAATGCCTTCGTGCGAAACCGCCTCAGAGGCCAAACCGCGCACCGCTACAACCCATCATCACCGGATACCCAAATCAAACAGTTGCAGTAGATGTAATGGGACCTCTACCCCGAACAGACCGTGGTAACCGCTACATTCTAATTCTGGTCGACCATTTCACGAAGTGGTGCGAGGCCACTCCTATTCCCTACAACGGCGCAACTGTTGTAGCACATGCGATCTTCGAGCAATGGGTCTCGCGTTGGGGCGCCCCGGAGCAGTTGCATTCGGACCGAGGTTCGAATTTCGAGAGCACTATTGTTTCTGAGCTATGCCATCTTCTTGGTATCCGCAAAACGCGCACTACTGCTTACCACCCGCAAGGAAATGGTGGAGTTGAACGCGCAAATCGGTCAATAAAGGCTCTGTTAAAAGCGTTCACAGACGAATACAGCGCACGGGAGTGGGACCGCGCACTACCACATTGTTTGTTAGCCTACCGTTCCACTGTTCATTCTTCGACATCCCACTCCCCACATTATATGATCACTGGACGTGAGATGCGTCTGCCGTTTGATTTGACTGTACCGCGACTGCCGCCAGATCCACTGCTAGCCACGGAGCATGCAAAGAGGGTACGCAGCGACCTAATCCGTACGAACCAACTCGCAAGGAACTGCCTGTCCAACGCCCAACGTCACCAAAAGGACTACTACGATAGACGAGTTGAAGGTTTACCGCTACAACCTGGACAGTTAGTCTACTTGCATGCACCGGTGCCTCCACCGGGACTCCCCTCGAAACTGCACAAGGAATGGACAGGGCCGTTCACTGTTGAAGAAGTGTATAACGATCGTACCTGCCGTATCACGGATAACACCCAAGATCCGAGACGTTCTTTTGTGGCCCACTTTAACCGCCTGAAACCGGCGACTCTGAGTACCAGCGACCCACGCGTCTCGCAGGAGAACGAACCCCCAGTCCCCGAGGCCACCGAGTACGTGGAGATAAGTGATACGACAGCCCCCGAGCAGTCGACAGCAGGTGTTGAGGACAACACCTACATCTAGAGGGGGGCAGTGTAACGGCATCACATTCACTTTAACCGCAGTCTATTCATTCTCACTTTTCTCTTATTTTCCAGATGCATTGCGCGAGACCTCCAGCTCTAACAAAGCCACGAACGGACAGTCATGAACCATAAACTGTTTATCTCTTTTATCTCTTTGATTGTATATTTTATATTGAGCCTGTTTTACCGTGTTGTACGAGTTCACTTCCGTTCTGCGAATACACGCTGTTCGTCACCCACTGTGTTCTTCCGCCCGGGGCTCCCGTCCACCGTATTTGCCCGTGGATTGTGTGATTAATCGCGTTGTTGTGCTTGTTGTACTTCAGCTCGCGGATATACCTGGCCTTTCCCCGAACATTGCACACTACACTGGTCCGCAACCTTCGGCGCTCCAGTTCCCCGCGTCAGAATGGCAGAAGGTATCTTGGACGCAAACAACGCCTTCCTGCTTGGAAATTATCGTTCGGCTATAAAAATCTTGCAGAAATGTGAGGTATGTACTTTGTCACATTTACTCTTTGAAGTTGAACGCCGCAGATGTCAAGCAAAAGGGCGATGTTCTCCTCCATCGCGTTTACATCGCACAAGGGAGGTGTGGCATAGTGTTGGATGAGCTGCGTGATGTACCTGATTCTTTAGAATTGCAATTAGTGAGGCTAGTTGCCTTATATTTTAATTCTACTGATGAAAGGTAAGGTTTAATATCGTTGTCCTAAAACAACTCAGACCTAAAGTTTTAGAAGAATTGGAAAAGCTATTAAACGTTCCTCCGAGTTCTGAAGACGAGACTGCACTTATTCTGGCTGCCACCGTTTACCTGGATGCGGGCGTACGTTGCCACTGTTCCCTTTCAACATTTTCTTAGCTGATTGACCGCGCCTTGCAGATTCTTCATCAAGGAGACGGTGTTAACTGGTAAGCTCATTGACTCAGTTAGTGCATTCGTATCATGTTTTTCCATACTATAAGATGCTGCGTTCTTGTCTGTTCCACTCCATTAGATTGTCGGGTTCGACTCCAGCAGTTTAATATTCGACGGTTACAGCTTCGGACATGTATGCGATGCATATTCATGCTTGAATAGTACCGATACTTTAGTTACTAGCGTTGTGCTTTGACACTTCGCCGCAGACTAAGTTACGTTATACCGCTGTCTGCATGTCGATATTGAAATCATTTTACGTGCGTTGGTGGGTAACTAGCTTCAGTTCGGTTCAGCCAGACAGGTAAGCTAGCTATCACACCAGCGCCTAAGTGAGGTGGTTACAGATGCGGCGATCTAGCCTCCATAGTAACTAACGTTGATAAAAAGAAATGATGTGGAACGAGTAAATAGCAAAGGGAATTAATAGCTGGATGTAAGAAACCAAAAGCAGGGGCGTTACTGAATCAACGACTGTCATATGCCATAGTGTTTCAAACCACTGATATGGACCATTCCAGGTTCCCATAAACGCGTATTGCACGCACCAGCTTGAACAGGATTTTTGGTAATGTATTCATGTCTGTACGCCGTTATCTACAGGCAACCTCGCGTTTTCGCCCAACTTGGTGCAGCGATGGCACACTTACCTGGCGTACGGTTGATATGACCTGATCAACACACTAGTGAAGGACCGGAGGCTATCTAGCCAAACGACTGGCGGATCTCAGCGCTCTTTGTTTGGTGTTATCACCAACTGTGTATAATACTCTGCAATCGCTTTCCTTCAAACATGATCAATCGTTAAATGGTTTTCGTGCGAACTGGCTATATCGATCCATACAGCTACACTGGCATCGTCGCAACCGTATTCAACCTACCATCTGCTGACGGGCCAGTACACTGCCAAAAGGGCAACGGGCACATGACTGGAAACATTCTCGGACATGACATGAACTCGCACTTATTGATGCACCTGTGGGAATTACTTACTCTGTTTTCCTCATTTTGTATCCACCCAAGTGTTTTAGCACTTTGCTAATCGTACTGCTTTTAGCCAAGTCTTAAATGCCTATGCAGGTATATATAGTTGACAGCATCCGTTTCTGAAGTTGCCCGCTACCCCGATTGCAGACAGCCACAGGACACCTGCGTCTACAGTAAGACCATCGGTGATTTGTGTTGCACCACCCACAATTCTATCCGCACACCCATCCAGTGTAAACCCAAAGGAATGAGATCAAGACGCATGTGGATGGGAGCAATGTTTCATCAACGGAACTAGCCCACACCCTTTAAACACGCACAGCAGCAGCATTTTTGTATGTCTAATTGGGGAATCATGCATACCAGACGTACACAAGGCGGTGACTATGCTTTAGCCCATTGCACTGACTATATGGGACCATCTACTCACGAGGGTCGTGCACCCCGTGTCCCCCGACAACCATTAACTCTCTTTGAGCTAGTAATCGTGGTATCGGTTTTCGACAGGTAGGCTTTTTGTCAGCACTTACACCATGTACAGCCAGGTGGGGTATACCAAACAACGAACATTTTCTGGGAGCGTTTATCCTCCAAATCTCTTCAGCCGAAAGAGACTTGGGTATCATTACCAAGACGAGACTTTCCGTATCCGCTTCTTGCCGGAAAGCAGCTGCTGCTACTAACCGCACGGTGGGATTATTGAAACAATCCTCTAGTTATATTGACCCCGGCAATTACCGCCTTCTCAACGCTTTTCTTCGATCCCACTTGGAGATTCTATTCAGCCTTGGAGCCCCTGCTTGCTGAACGACCAACGTATACTCGAAGCCCCACAACGTCGAGGTCTCAAGCACCTAGATTATCCACAACGACTTTATTGCCTGCGCTTCTACTCGCTTAAGTATTAACGTCTCCAACGCGACCTAATCCTTGTATTTATGATCTTATCCAACCCTGGACATCCCTGTCGCCACCTAATCACACTGCACCAATCGTGCTCTCACCTGCGTGGCCACCCACTGAGATTCACACATCAGCACAGCCGGCTGCACTGCAGACGACACTACTTCGCTTTGCGAACCTGTCGACCATGGAATGCTCTGCCTGCCGATTTAGGCTTGGCATCCACTGTGGCTGATTTTAAGACGCGTCATCTAGCCGAGCTACACCGCGATATTCCCTGATATAACTACCTTCTACTTGATGGAGTATCTCTTCCTTTTTCTTCTACGTACTTCCTTTCCATAGCCGTTTCGGAGGGCGTGGTGGGATGTCACGCTTTGTGGCGGTTTGCATTCTGTTTAAATGCTGCATAATCCCGATGAAGACACGGCCAACACGCGAGTCCAACCTGATATAGGGTTGCTTGGCCTTCTTTCAGACCCGACCCGAGCCCTTTATACCCTATGGGTCATGTAAAGCTCGAGCTTTTATTCCCATTAAATACAATATTCCAGTGTTCCAAAAATGTAAACACAAGCACATGTGCGAAATAAGGACACCTGCCGCATTATTAGCTTGAGTTAATTAATGAACTCGGGAGCAGCATTCTTACCATAAGTTGACACTTAATCAGTTTACCTGCCTCCGCTGTTGGCCCCTTGTGGTCACGCTAATGACTGACAAGACCGGTTTGGCTTAGACACGCACGACTGCATGTGTCACAGCACCAGACGCACTGCGTAGGCTCCATCGACGCTTTTCTTCTTGGTGCAACAGTCCTTTCTGGTACACTAGGGCAACGTCATTCTTGATGTAGTCACATTATTACGGCGGTCTACGGTTACATCCCAACACCTAAACTCAGTGTTATTTCGTGATAAACTCACTTTGATTATGACGTGGTACCGTAGCTTCGGTAGCTTCTTTGCATGCAGTTGTCCATATAGTAGGCTCTCCGGTATCATGGTTGAATCCATTCGTCGGTCATGCCTGAGCCACCTCAGGTACTCCAACAGAAGTATTCAATCCGCTCCATGCATGCTACTTCGGTGGAACAGAATACGAACGAAAATAAACACGCAAACTAAACAGCAAATATGCCGCAGAATATCATAATAGCGCAAGTCACAAAATGTGTATTACCTCTGCTCTAGTGTGGGGTTATCTTTGGCAGATGTAAGTTTAGGTTAAAGAATATTAGCTGGCTAACACCTAAAATAAACGCAATAGAACACGCGAAAGAGTAAAGGAATATGCGTAGAATTAACAGAACTGTTCAACTAAAATGTTTTACTTCATATCTAGGGCATTGCGGAAAAGGCGTAAGTGTAAGTGTAAGTCGATCTAGCCAAACTCGAATGAGCGCATAGAAACAGAAGTCAGTTCGCGCATTGCAAAAACCAGAACTGTCTTTTTGAACCTGTAACATCTATAGCGACAGAAAGGGGTTTTCTTCCGTCTAAAAGGCAGTGTATACAAGACCACAATTAGGGTGTCCTGCTCTATGGTAGCGGAATTTGGCCCCTTTGGTCTTCTAGTCGGATTACCTGTTTAAAGTGTGTTTGGTGCTGAGTTATTTGCGAGGTAGTGGCTGACTGTGACCTCTGGCAGTGAAAGCCGCAAGGAAGCTGTCTCGCTGATGCCGCCTTATATCTGCACTACAGCCAGCTGTTTGTAACGGTATGTAGGCACTTTGACTCTGAATGTTTGCTTAGTGCACTAAGGTTTTTTGGTAAGTCCCCCTTTTCTCCCTGTTACTGTTCTTTATTGCACAGATCATCATGGTTGTATGGAAGCGAAGCATCAGTTCAAATGGCTGATGTACTGCTGTCGTTGTTTGAGTCAAACTCGGTGAGGATGCATACTAAATGCAACCTCAACCGCAGCATGAGCACACATACCTACATGGTTAGGGACCCCCGATTCATTCATTCATTATACACGTTAGCTGCGGGTAGAAAACATCTCAGCTATTGTGTCTCAATACTAAATACAAGAAAAAATTACAACAGTGGCACCCCGGCTGAGTCCCTAGTAACGGATGGACATTGTTCCGTAGAACTAACAGCCGGCTATGGTGCCATAAAGAGTTATATTATGCCTAGCGAATGAGACCGTGATTGGAAGGGGAGGCTAAGCAGGAGGGGATGGACAGAGGAACTCAACACAAACGCCATTGGGGCCGGCTCCAAGCCATATCAGCAAGTGTGTCCAAACAAACGTGTTCACCGTCCTTAGGAGCCCAGTCAGGCAGTCGGGATGCACAAACCGACACCAACTTCGAAGTGAGGGTTTCCATCTCTCTCGACCAAGTCATCGCTTGGCCTCCCCTCATCCTCTTCCAACCGCACTCACAACGCGCAAACAATACACGTCGCGGAATTCGATGTGCTGGCATGCGCAACCAGTGGCCAAACCATCGGAGCCTGATGCGTGATATACCAGTGCTGAGCGGTTCACTCGCTATTTCTGCACCAAATACGCGACGCCGAACACGCTCATTGCTCACGCGGTGCACCCAGCAGACATGAGCTAAGCTGCGAAGGTAGTGATGATCGAATATGACGAGCCTCTTAATGTCTGTCGACCTGATGAGCCAGGTTTCAAAACCATATAGGAAAGTTGAACGGACGGTTGCGCTATAAACTCTGCCCTTCAGGGCGAGAGTAATGTTGCGTCTGCGATACAGGAGGCGGAGATTGGCAAAAACATCTGGAGTTTTTGCTATACGGTTCGTAACCCCATCTTCGATCCCACGAGCGCTAATGTAGCTGCCCAGGTACTTGAATTCCTGAACGACTTCTAGATGATCACCACAAAGAGTTAGCGCAGGAGTACTTTGAATTTCGATGGAGAAAAGCATAGCCCAAAACGATTGACAGCCAGTGCTACTCGGTCCAGTGCTGCTTGACATGTTTGGGAGCTGTCACAGATTAGGACAATATCGTCCGCATACTCTAAGTCAAGAAGTCGCTCACCAGGAAGTAGCTCCACACCTATGTCGTGTCCAGCAACCGCTGTTTCCATCAATAACGAAGTTAAAGAGGAAAGGTGACAGCGGGCA